CAGACTTGAATCGGAGCTCAAAGAGACGAAGACTGAGCTGAAGCTTTTGAAGGAGAGAGAGTCGGAGACCGAGGTGGCTCTCGCTTTGCTCAACGCGGAGTTTCACAAGAACATGTTGAAGATAGCGAAAGCAAAGGCGGCTGCTGCGGGAAATGTGGCGGCCGAGGTGGTGGCGAGGACGGGAAATGCGAGGAAGGAGGAGAGGTGAGGAAGAGGGACATTATTGTGAGAATGGAGGAGGATAAGCCAACTTTGGCTCAGATTTTGAGTATTGGTGATGAGGAAGGCTTGTCTGGAGGAAGAGAAAATGGGAAGAAAATGATGATGATGAAGAATGAGAATTTCTCCAAGGTTTTGAAATGGTAGATGAGATCGAAAAGAGAGAGAAGAGAAGCAAAAGAGAGAGAGATAGAGAGCGTGAGATATATCAAATTTCTTTGTGATAGATGGGTGTGGGTTTAGGGACCATAGACATCAAAAAATAATATTGTGGATCTCTTCCATTACCAAAAATGGAGGAGGGACCTTAGACTATTTTTTCCTAAATTAAATTATTTTAAATATAAAACTTATTTTAATTTGTCTAAACCCGTTCATTTGCCACCTCTAATTATATGTATACTTTTTTTTTCTTTTTTTAACTCGAACTTAAGATTATAAGTCTAGTAAAGAAGACATTTACCACTTATATAACACACCATATAATAAATATTTTATTTTATTTTTATTTATTTAAATTAGACAAATTATATGTGTCAATCGCTAGCGTAGATCACCAATGAGCAGTAAATTTTTAATTTATGTGAAAAGGTGGATTTCAATTTTTATTCTTTAATATTTTTTTTCGCCTTTTTTTTTTTTTTTTTTTTTTTTTTTTACTGTTTTGAAGATAGGGAGTTTATTGAGCGCCTAGTAAATTTATATTTTTGTTTATCTATTTCATGTAGGCCTTGTTTGATAACACATTATTTTGGTTTAAAAATTAAAAAATTATTAAAAATGTCAAAAAGTCAACAAATATCAAAAAGTCAAATATTCATTTTCATTCACTTTTTGCACATATATTTGTAAAAGAAAAAAAAAAAAAAAAATCGTCCAAAACATAATTTTTTTTCATCTCATATTTTAGCCAAACCAAAAAATAAAATTAAAATAAAAAACTAAAAACATATGTTCCCAAACAACCCTTAGTTATCAAAAACAAAGTTAATTATACTTTGTTTGGATAGTGAAATGATAAAAAAAAAGAGCAAATGATTAGAGTTTTTTTTAGTGAAGTGAGAAAATAAAAGAAATAATTATAATTTTACACATTTTTGTTTGGATAGATAATGATTAAAAGAGAATATATGTGTCTTTTTATCTTATTCACTTTGTATTTAGAGGGTTAGTTTGGGAATTATAATTTTATTTTATTTTTTGTAAAGAGAAATATTGATTTCTCATCAAGTTTCACTACTTTTGATGAGATAGAAAACTTAAATTTGAAGTGATTTGTCTTTCTTAGCATTTCTTTTCATTTCTCACTATTACTCATCTTATTAATCATCAAAATATGTAACAAAAAATGGGCAAAGCTTCTCTCCCGTCTACTCGACAGTGCAATTGGGTTTGTGGGGCCTACCACGGGTCTAATTTCGATGATCCAAACCATTCAATATGTAGAGCTTATCGATTATTTTGTCTCTGCAAAAAAATCATTTGATCGGATATCGAAAATCCCTCGATCAGTTCATATTTTTGTCAATGATAAATATGATTTTAAAAATAAATTATTGACAAAAATGTGTATTGATCAAGTGCCTATCGATATTCGATCAATGTGATTTTTTACAGGGATGAAGTAGTTGATGAGCTCTACATATTCAATGGTTTGGATTATCGAAATGGACCCCCGTAGTGGGCCCTATGGGCTCAACAGTATTGTCCAGTCTACAAAATGGACTAGAGAAAAGCCTTGTCCATAAAAAATCTCATTTCCTCTTCTTTCCTTTTCAAAATAACCTTTTCAAAATAACTTGATCAACCCAAAATCCAAATATTATATATATATATATATATTATTAGCCATTTGATGATATTAAAGTAATTTAGACCGTTAGATCATATTGAATATCTATTATATACACAAGTAATACAACACAAAATTTTATATTTTTCTTTTGTCACTCAAAAATTGTAAAGACTATCATATCGGTACATTGGCTCTTAAAGTCTTATCCTTTTCAGACGACTCGAGCAATTCAAATCTAACTCAGGTTGGGCTTGAGCAGACAACCTCAAATTGCAATTCGAGCTTGGATGGGTCTGGGTAGCTCTCTGTACAACTCGGACTAGACTTGGACAATCTCTCCACTTGTCCGAGTTCAACCCCTAATTAATGAGTGAAAATTCAATTTAACAATGATACCAATGTTGTACATAAGGGTGGGAATTTGCAATACGACACGATAACACGATTCGAACCGTACACAAATTCAGCAAGTTAGAGTTGACCATTTCCTGACACAAACACGTATATGATACGATCTGATAAAACGAATATTAAACAGGTTGGGTTAGTGTAAAATTTGTATAAAACGAAATTGACATGGATAACCCGTATACTAATGAAGAATTAGTTATATATTTTAATATTATTTTTACTAAAGAGTATCATGATGTTTTTTAATTTCTTATGTAATTACATCCAATTTATTAAAAAAAAATGTAAAATACAATTTTAAATTTAATATAATTTTCGTTTTTACTTTTAATTGAACTTAATGTATTTTTTTGGTCTATTATTTGAGTTAATCTAGTAAAAAATATAATATAATATAATATCTATAAATTAAGAAAATAAAATTAAGTTGAAATCAAATATTTTTATAAATAATTTCATTTAATAGACATTAGTTTCATTAAATTTAACTTATGAAGAAATTTTTAAATTTTTGTCATATATTTGATATTTTTAGTTAATAGTGATTTTTTTTTGACATGACATGTGTACAAGAGACAAATGGAACACGGACCGAAAATGACACAACACGATTACACAAAATAATAAACGGGTCTAATTAGTGTTGAGATAATTCTAACACGAATCCGAAATTACTTGACATGAACACGACCTAAGACGACATGACGCCCATCTCTAAATGTACCAGATCAACCCAATAATTATCTTGCCATATATACATAAAAGGTAAAAAGCAAGAGCAGATTGGATGGTTATATCAATAATAGGGCTTGGTATCATAGTTGTATGATTCAGCTTGTTTGTTTCCAGTTTTTAGAAAATTTTATTTTTTTATTTTTTGTATTTTAATGTTTTGAATGAATTTTTTTAATATTTTAAGTAAATTTTTTTTTATACACATCTAACATAAATACGCTTAAAACATATAATATTTGGGCAAAAAAATCTTTAAAAAATACACTAAATACCAAAAAATACAAAAAAAAAAAATTCAGTATATTTTTTGTATTTTTATGTATTTATTAATTTTTTTAAATATTTTTTCACAAATATTTTATTATTTAAATCCATCTAAATAAGATGCATCTAAAAAATAAAAAAATTACTTAAAATTTAAAAAATATTGATTAAAAATAAAAAAATCAATTTCTAAAAAATCGAATTCAAAAAATCAAAATCAAATATATTGATTTTTTTCCCCCTAATTTGAAAGCAACTGCATTCCGTACCAAAGCTTATTTTGTGGGCCGCCTCACTTTCAAAAGAAGAAAAAGGTTCTGCTTTGCGGATGCTGTGAGCTAAAACAGCCGGACACAACTACAGTAAAAAAAAAGAAGACAAATTGCATTGGTGAGGTGATCTCTATATTTTTCTCTTTATATTTTTAATTAGCATACTTTTGACATTTTATTTTAAATTTTGTGTCAATTTAATTTAATTGATAATAACATTAATATTTTTTATTGAAAATAATCACTAGTTGTAGTTGAGATTAACTTGAGGTTAATAAATTTATAATTTTGCTCTAAAAAATATAACAAATGTCACTTATATGCATTTTTTTTTTTTATTAAAAATGCTAAGATTTGTAATTGATTGAACCAAATTGAAATAAAATCTTATATTCAGGATTAAAATCGTGCCAATTAAAATTATAGAGATCAAAATAATATAAGGATCAAAATATAGGGATTACTATCGCAATTTGTCAAAAAAATGCACATTTACATGCCCATCTTCTTAAACAAAATTATTCACTTACAAGTTTTAGTTATCAATATTCTTAAAATATTCTCTCTCCACATTCTTCATCCCCTTTATTATGAATGGGATAACTTTACCTAGCCCAACTATCACCTCCGGTTATTGTCTCCGACCATCGACAGCTGTTTATTGTTTCCATCTCCAATCATCGAAGACCACCACAAGTGACAGTAGTTTTCCAGTGACATTTTTTTACAATTCTCTAGTCATTTTTCAAGAAAAAATAATGTCATCTCCAATTCATAGTTATTCGAACATAATTAGTAGTATCATCACAATCACACATTCACAAAGCCGTAGACCAAGGCAAAATGGAAATAAAAAATAGAAGCATGAATATCTATTAATGCAAAATGGAAATAAAAAATAGAAGCATGAATATCTATTAATGTGTGTACACTCCGCTCGATTACTAAATTAAACAATAAGATAATATTTTTAGTTTCAAATTAAGCACCGAGGTTAGAAATTCAAACAAGTTGTATTAGAGATGATTAATTAATGTGGAATTAATATTTACACTTTCCAAATTAGTGAATTTAAAGAGATAACTCAATTGTTTATACATGTGCTCCTACAAGCTCAACAACTTGGAGACTATTGTCACAACTTCTAAGTTTAACATTAGCATGAAGCACAATAACCAAACACCAAATTATGATTATAAAAATTTATATATAGATTAAAAAAATATACATTCGTCATATACAAAATAGAGCTAGATGTGCTCTTGATAAAAAAAAGACTTCAAAAGAGTATGATAGAAATACAAAAATAAACCTATAAAAAGCAAAAAGACATACTCCAGAAGTTATGTATAGAAATTAATAGCAGAGAATTCAACAAATTTACTGACAAGTTTATTTATTATAATCAGTGATAATAAGTTATAGATTTAAGACTGATGAATTTATTCCGGCTGGTTCTTTAAATTTTTATACACAGTAGATCTAGTTCACAGACAGAATCAATCTCACTAATAGGAACTCAAGCGATCGTGTCATGGCTACATCTCGACGTTGACAAGGGTTATGATACTAGATCGACATTGAAGTAGTAGATCAGCGTTGAAATTGGCCAGATCTAAAGTCACCGGTGAAGATTGGTAGTGAAGAGAGAATAGATTGCTGATGGAGGAGGAGGATGGTGGCTCCGGCGGTATTGAAGATAGCAGATGGATGATGAAGGAGGAGCGGTGATGATGGCAATGAGAGAGGAAGATGGTGGTGTGAAGCAAGCGACGGAAACGATGAGGGAGGAGGACGAGGATGGTGGTTGAGGCAAGTGATGTTGACGACAACGGAGGAGAACGATGGTCGACGGAGAGAAACAATGGTACCCACTTGATGTTTCGCAAAATGGAGTGGTCGAGCCGGAGCAGGAGGCATCATCCGATCAGATCAGGGTGAATGGATTGTGGGTTTTAAACATCATGTGGGTCAGTCAACAGAATTGGTTCTTGACTCTTTATTATTGTTGTTGGAATCCTTTAATTGATACTAGGGCATTGATTGATTTGTCATCGTAACAGTTAAGTAAGATTTGATCAAAAATATTGATTTGGATATTCGTTCCTTGTATAGTCTTCATTCTTTTAACTCTTTGTTTTGAATTTTTATGTGAGGCTACAACTATTGGATAGCTTGTTGTCTGGACTTCATTTTAGACACTTGATTTGCCCAAAACGGTGATCGGACGAGAGAATTACATTTGTTTGAAATTTGAGTGCTCAAGCGCAACTTTGGTTGCTCAAGCCGCACCTGAATTTTTTTTGGTCCATCTTATTCAAGATGAATCAAGACTTTATGTGACGAATGGAATACGATCCAATAGCCAAAACTCAAACTGTGGGATTTTGAAGAAAAATTTGGAGTCGCCACGTAACATAAAATTCAGGTGTATGAGGTCACCTAAATTGTCGAAATTCGCAATCTTATTTGGAAAACATGTTTTATAAAAATTTGAATTTTGATAGTGACTGACCAAAACACATGTTTGTGTAATAAGAACGTAGTACGATGCATCTATCATGCGATGTGCGGATGAGATTGAGCTAATAGATACCTCTACGAGGTATGATGGAATTTATTGATGGATACGACCAAAGGTTTTTATTTATTTATTTATCTTTTTTAAATGAGAAGGTCACATGTTTATGCAATATGATGCATTTCAATTGTGCCAAAAAATATGACATACCAATACGATGGAATATTATACTATATGCTAGTCCATGATATAGAATTTATTACCATAATCTTCTTCTGTTCTTGTTTAGTAAAAATTCCACCTCATGACTGATGGAGCAATTTTGAGAAGATTGGCATTTCTTGACTCAAGAGAATAGTCTTCGATTCCTTGTCTGCACAATTGCTATTCACGGACTTCATTACGCATAGCAACATTTGACTGAATATGAATTTATCAGGCTAGGAAATTCTTCCCCATCCATCTCGGTTAATAACTATGAGAATACCGCCAGAGAGAACTTTTTTAACTATTAAGGGACCCTAGTAATTAGAAGCAAACTTGCCGCAAGCTTCTTCTTGAATTGGTAAAATCCTTTCAAGAACCAAATCTCTGTCTTGAAATTCTCGAGATTTGACTTTCTTGGCAAAGTATTTTGAAACCTGACGTTGATAGCATTGAGAATGATAGATTGCGGCCATTCTTTTCTCATCGAGGAGACTGAGCTGTTCATAACGATCTCTGACCCAATCAGCTTCCTCAAATTGGGTCTCCATCAGGATTTTGAGCGAAGGAATTTCAATTTCTATCGGCAAGACGGCCTCATATCCATACACCAAGGAATAAGGTGTTGCCCCAGTTGATGTTCAAATAGTAGTCCGTTAAGCCATGAGTGTGAAGGGAAGCTTTTCGTGCCAATCTTTGTATGTATTCGTCATTTTCTGAGGATTCTTTTGGCATTCTTGTTTGCAGCCTCGACCGCTCCATTCATTTGAGGTTGATATGTCACTAAGTTGCGATAGGTGATCTTGAATTGACTACACAATTTTTCCATCATATTACTGTTGAGATTCTTGACATTGTCAGTGATGATTGATTCAGGAAGGCCATATCGACATACGATATTGTGCTTGATGAACCGTGTTACCACCTTCTATGTGACATGAGAATAGGATGCTGCTTCGATCCACTTTGTAAAATAGTCTATAACGACTAAAATGAAGCGATACCCATTTGATACTTTTGGAGTAATTGGACCAATGACGTCCATACCCCACATAGAGAAAGACCAAGGAGATGACATAACTTGCAAGTCTTTGGGAGGTGCTGCACATCATCATTTCGTGGTTCCCTTCCTTGATTGGTTGAAATCTCACTCAGCAAATATTTAACATAAATTTGCGCTGAAAGGTTTTTGGGTGTTCCAGATCCAACAGTGAATATCTTTTCTACAAATTCCTTAGACTTGGGGCAAAATGAGGTATCAACAAGCGGTCTTTAGGTCTAGGTAGCCCTGAGTTTCTGAAACTTAAGATACTGTGAGCCTTGATTCTTCGCTTGAGTGCACATTTGGTTGCTCAAGCAGTCTACTCATCAATGATCTGAGTTACTGCAAGCTTGAATTTTTCACTCGAGTGTAACTTTGGTCGCTTGAGTGGTCTGTTCTGCAAAAGTCTTGAGACCTTGCAAACGATCATTCACTGCTCGAGTGCAATTTTGGTCACTTGGGCAGTCCGTTCAAATTCAGCGTGTAAAAACTATTTTTTTAGTTAGATTTGTGGGCCTAAACCCTACTTTTTGCACTCATATTATATTATACACTCTCTCTTTCTTCACTTTTTAAATTTTATCTCCCTCTACTCTCTCTTTCTTAGAGCTCTCTCCCTTCTTTCTTTAAAATCTTTACCCAAGCTCTACAAAACTTTCGATCCACCATAGTTAGAGTTAGAGTTTCACCTTACTCCTTTGATACGGAATATAGAGTGCATCGAGAGCTTCATTTTGATTGGGATCGATCGCGACTTTGACACGTTCGACTTTTGAGACTTTCCTTCTCCTTTTCTCTATTTGAGGTAGGGATTTTATTATTTATATATATTTTCCATACCATGGTTATGTGGTAGTTTGTAGATATGAACTTTTGAAATTTATGGAGGTTTTGATATATATATATACATACGGTATAAAACTAGGGCTTGTCCTTTTTTGGTTTAAAACTTAGAGATATCTCTCTAAAATTGATAAATGAGGTTTGAATTTCAAAATTTGATTTTTAAATTGGCAAAGCCCTAAATTTGCACAAACCCCAGAATGTTGAATATTCAAGAAATAATTGTGTAATTGGGAAATTGATGGTTTTTCTTGGGAATTATTAACCCTCTTGACCTATTGAGTATTGTTGAGAATTATGAAAGTATTGGAATTATCGTTTTAGTTATGCTCTCGTATTGCCATTTGTGGAATACTTTGGCAATCGGTGGAAGATTGCATTATTGTGTTGTAGAAATGAATTGAAATTAGGAAAAATTGAAACAATTTTCAATTCATGCATTGCATAATCATATTTATGCTCTCATTCATGGATATTATGAAACTTTTGAGAAATTATTATTAAGAACATCGGTTACAATTGAATTGGTTGAATTATTAAAGTAAATAATGTCGTAAAATCTGGGATGTGTAGAAAATGTTTGCAAATTGAATTAAGTTGGCGTGACGTCCTTGGTGAAAATTCATAAACCCGTGCGAAGTCAAGAGTCCAATTGCCCTTCTAGAAAATAGTCAAAGAATGTAGATTTTTGGTAGTTCTGTATAGATTACTTGCAGACACACACCTAGGAATTTCTAGGGTATTATTTACGGTTTAATAATTGGTCTTTTGAAATGAATAGAACTTGGAATATTTTGGAAGGATTTGCATTGGCACATTCACGAGAAATGAAGACGTTTTGACATGAAATGGTATCACTTGCATTTGTGATCATACACATGTTAATCTCATATACATTGGTAATATTGTCTCTACTGGGTATTAGTGCTCAACCCTTCATGGAAAACTATTTTCAGGTATTGATGAGATACCTCCGCCTCGTTGAAGAGAGCTTCTATTTCCACACACCACTTCCTCTTATTCCACACACTTAATGATATTTTTTTATTACATTTTTGTCCTAAAATAAAATTACCAAAATACCTCTTTCTTTTTCAACCAAAACCCTAACCTTAATTTTCTCTCTCAACTGAAACCCTAACCCTAAAATTACTACCACCCTTCATCGCCGCTGTTGCCGTTGCCATTGTCGCCGTCGTCTTTCCCCTTTTCCGTCACTTCCCGTCGCCTTTTCTTTCACTATCATAACCCATTTCACCTGCAAGTCTAAGAACACGATTGGCGTAACCCCCTCTTCCTTCGCTTCACCCTTCTATCGCTATTGTCATTGCCTCTACCCTTTCGCGACTATTGTCGCCGTTGCAGCCGCCCGTCATCAGCCCTCTCTACCTTCTCATTTTCTTCTTCTTCTTCTTCTTTGTTGCGTTCCTCCTCCTTCTTTTTCTCCTCTGTCACACGATCGCACGATCTCCAATTTCAGGCACGAGTGTCTCTCTGTCTCTCTTTCTGTCGCTCTGTCACTCTCTGTCTCTCTGTCCCCTACGGTGACCACCCTCCCTTGCTGCTACAACCCCTCACCGGCGGAAAAAGTTGCCAGAGATGATGGGTATTTTTGGTATAATAGGATGTTTACTAAGTGAAAAATAATAATTCAAATTTATTAGGTGTGTGTTGTAGAAAGAGAGGAAGTGGTGTGTGAAAATAGAAGCTCCCCTCGTTGAAGGCTTGTGATTGGCATTTTGGAGCAAGAAGGCTCTTTACTTTTGTTGTTATCTTTGTATAGGTTTTGAGCTTAATTGCACGGGTAGAAATCCTTCTTTTTGTAATAATGTTCTACTTCTTGAAAGATGTAAGCCCTTAAGGCATTTTATTTGAGATATGACTTGTTTTGTAATAGTATCACATGATATGGATTCAAGCTTAGAGGTTATGAATGTGTAATGCATGTGATTTATTCTGTATATCTCACTTGATGAAATGAAGAAGTTGAAAAATAGATTTACTTTCATTATGAATATCAAAGAATAGTGAGTATTATGTCAGTTTCGATATGTATGAATTGAATGGATATCTAATGAAGGAATGAAAGTGGATTTAATAAATGTTGATCGGATCTATAGAAATTGGGGCTGCGGAGCTGTAGGCTATTTGGAGTGGGCTGCAATTGGCTTGGGCTGCAATATATCTTCCTTCTCTGGTCAATGCTGAAAATTTTCTTCTTTCTTCTAGAGTCAAAAAGATTCAAGGCTGTTGTCATTCGAATTGAGAGTCCTGGAGATGATGCTTTTGCATCTAATTTGTAAGTGCTGCAGTGTTGTTTCTTTATAGTAAGTTTAAATTGTGAATATACCATATGATGCTTGTTCCAATAAGAGGTTTTGTAAATTAATTCATCTATGAGAATGGTTATTACTTGGAGTAATGATTTAAGGTATTTCAGTGCGTTGGCTTGGAAATATTCCATGGGCTATATCAAGCCCACTCTTGAATCCCATCATTAGACCTATATCAAGCATGTTTTAATATTGTTCACTACATCTAGGATACACAAATAAGAACATAACCAACTTTGTTGTTGATAAAAAATAAATAAATAAATAATTACAAGAAATTCAGTGTGGATGGCTAGAGTTAAGTGAGAGCTGAAGTGGCCTTAGGGGAGGAGAGGGAGAGTGAGAGTGGTAGCAATAGAAATCTTGAGATGGTGAACCAGAACCCACAAGCTAGAAGGAGGCTTGCTTGCTTTGAGATGAAGGTAAAAGGCTCACAATTTGTGGAGGGGTAGGGCTAAGCGATGCCTAGATTTTTGGAGAGAAAACTAAACATCGTACTATTCCATAATAATCATAACAAGGAGGTTTATAAATAAATAAAACCCTGATAACACCCCAAAGACTAAACTACCTTCAAGCTAAATAAATAAAAGACAATCGTAACACCCCCTCAAAGTCATGATGTGAGTTGAGGAAGCATCAAGAGTTTGTCAAAGATAAAACAAAGACACAGAACAGTGTGGGATTTTGTGAAAAAATCAGCCAACTGCATAGTGGAGGAGACAACAGCAAGACAAAGTCCGAAGTTGAAAATGATTGACACACATAATGGCAATAAGGCTATGTTTGGGAACACGAGTTTTTAGCCAAAAAAATCAAAAGGTAAATACAAAATCAACCCATTCTCATTACTTTTTTTGCATGTTCTTTCATAAAGAGTCAAAAAGTTACGAAAAAAGTCAATTCCAAATGAACCCTAAATCTCAACATGTTTTGTGTGCTCATGAAAAATAGAGTTGTGTGTCAACATCATCTTCATCTTATGCGAAGAACCCTTCCCTGTATCCGCCATTGATAGCTCACTAAAGGCTGAACTTCCTTTTTTGTTCCTTTTGCCGAATAGTCCTATTTTAGTAGCTGTGAAATGATTATTTTGGTGTAAACTTCAACTAAATCCACTTCTTGAGAGCCTGAAATCAAAACCAAAGGTTAACTAAGTGCATCTGTAATCAATATTTTTCCCTAATCCACTGAAGTTAAAGACTCAATTGAGCATTCTATTGATGGGGTTGCATACACTATAGTCTGATCTTTGGTTGAAACAACTGGCCAACTAATGGTGTCAGACTCCCAGTTAACAGCCGCAGTGCCTTTCGTAATCTGTGCCAACATCCATGGACTAATTTCACTTCTTGGGTGCTTGAAATCCAAACCAAAGTTGAAAGGTTGAAACTTGAAAGTAAATCCAGTTATACATGCTAATAAATAATGTAATTAACTCAATATGTTCCACCCAAAATTTAAGAGGTTATATTTTTGACAGGCCTTCAGTACGTTGCAAACTGTCGTTTGAATAACTAAACTTTTTGCTCAAATGAACTCGCTAGTGGCATATATTCCTTTTGCAGTCAACTTTCAGAATCAGTTTCCATTTACCCCCAGTTGAAGTAGATTTTTCGAAAAAGGAATAGATAAAGTAGGTTACCAATTAGGAGGAGGTTTACATTCAAGCTGCTTTCGAGAGAGGCAGAGCCTTATGTGCTCTGATTGTTTGAAATGACATTCACAAACTTAATAATGTTATTCTTAGTATCTCTTATCGCATTAGGTATCACATTCTTGTGCTGAAGAATGCGAAATAAATGATTATTCGGTTCTTCATTTTTTAATAATATTTTGCAAATATCTTGCATACACAATATTGACATTAAAAGTGGAAGGTACGACATGCCGAAAGAAACATCAAAACAATAAGAGCTGTAAACAAAAGATTTAATAAAAGATATTTGGTTTCACGAGAAGGTGAAGTTTACTCAGCTAATTGGAATAGGTGAGGGTAAATTGGTGGTAGGTGTAGTAGGTGTGGTAGTAGGTGGTGGTAGGTGTAGGTAAATTTTAACAATTAATGTATATTTATATCTCCATTCCTGGATTAATATTTGTTTCTCATAGCAGAGAGGTAAAATAGAAAGGAAACAAAAAGAAATTGACTAATTGGCCTTGATGTTCATCTTATACAGAATGTGGAGGGAAATTAGACTCCTTTCTGCCTCAAAGCCTTTTAGTGCATTGACGGCTGATGTGGTGATTAGTGGAGGATACTATATGCAATGGCAGCAGGGGTTATAGTTGCAGAGGATCTTACATTAATAGGATCAATTGGTGTTGTTACTAGTGAACCTAGCAATTCACATTCTTATGTTTTCTTTAATATTGTTAAGACACTTAAGCATGCCACCATTTACAATTTTTCTTTTCATTTCTTAATTTTAAAATTCAACTAATCGATGAATGGACGATGTCTCAAGGAAAAACATTTATTCCAAAAGGTTTTAAACAATATAACCAGAACTCAATCGTTAATCAATAACAATTAATAGGATGGATGCCTTTAGTTGACATTCAGCAATTCCTGAAAGGGTGACATTTTTTTGTTGACATCTGTTCGAAAAACATAAAATGTTTCCAAAACAAACTGATACTTGATCAAACCTTATCCTATTCTTTAATTGCCCTTTACCTATCGATGACAAAATGAGCAGCTGATTGAGAGACTTGCCTCCAAATTTTATGCCTAGTCAACATGGCAGATAAATTTATAATAACTGTTTGGAGGCCTTTGATTATAGTTATGAATACAGTCAATGCTGCAAATCTAGTTATGTTCTATTTGATGCATCATCACATGACTGTCGTTCTTCACATATCTTCACAAAATAATCAGAAAAGGGATCTTCACAATTTTATATGTAGCTATAGTTACTAGTGTGCTTAAGCTGTGAGAGACATTGTGTGGGCTAATTTTTCTTTCGATGAAGGAAGCCTATTTAGGTGATCTAGATTATAGCTATTGATGTTTTGATATTTGTGCTTGTAGGGAAGTTTAATTTAGGAAAACTATATGAAAAGATTGGCTTCAATAAAGGGATCTTATCAACAAGAAGATTTGCAGAGCTTACTGTAGCTGAACATGGACCATTCAGGTAAGATGGCTGATTGATTTGCTGAGGATATAGGTGCTTGTATATTTTGGATACAGAAAAAGGGTAGCATCAACTTGATGCAACGATCCCACATCCTCATCGAAATATGACATTAAAATTTTGTATTGTGGGTTTATTTTTGCTATTATTTATGCCTCCATAATGATGTCTTCAAGGTAAATTCAATCCACTAATGTCTCAATTGTAGATAACCGTTACCATGGTATTTTCCTGTTAGGCTTTTGTTTTCCCCTACTTCCCAATTATCAGCTATATTTGCCTCGGAAGCGGCCAAACCAACACACCAGCACAAATTTTCAAAATAAAAAAAAGCAATAAGCAGTTCCATAAGCTGCACCAAACAAGACTTTAATATAGTTTGACTACTTGTGATTTGTGAATAATAATCAAATTTGTCTTGTAGATCAGATGAAGCAAAACTCTTTGCCAAGTCTGCTCAGAATGCATACAAACAGTTTAGAGACAAGGCGGCATATTCAAGATCAATGATTGTACAGTAGTCATGTATACTAATGGAGTGCAGTACTCTTTCAATCGCTTCATTACTGTCCAATCTTTATGTTACAGGTAGATAAGATAAAGGAGGTGGCACAAGGGAGAGTGTGGACTGGTAAAGAAGCAGTTTCACGAGATTTAGTTGATGCTATTGGTGGGTTTTCTCATGCTGTTGCTATAGCAAAGCAGAAGGCTAATATACTCCTGGGTAGAGAGGTTGGTTAATAAACTCCTTTAGTTTACCCTTCTACAGGTTTTAATAAAAATGGGTGTTTTCGTGAGATATTGAGTTCATTCTGAAGTCTGGTGGAAATTTATAATGTTTCACTTACCCTAAAGAGAACATCACAATATTCCTTTACATTTTGATCTCTATTTCAGGAAATTCTTTATGGACTAATGGACCCTGTGTACACATGATATACTTGCATGTATAACATTGAAGTTGATAGTTTGTCAATTCAGTTTCTTTTACTTGTATAACATTGAAGTTGCTATTTTGTCGATTCAATTTCTTTTAAGTCTATTGAGGCTTGATTCTAATAGGTATCCTAAATGTTAAGGTTACTCTTGTTGAGCTATCAAGACCGTCACCAACCGTGCCAGAAATCTTAGTTGGCATTGGTAACACTGAGGTTGGGGTGGATAGGACATTGCAAGAATTACTGCAAGGCTTGGCATCTGTTGATGAAATTCAAGCCCGGATGGACAGAATCATGTTTCAGAAACTGGATTGTGCTTCGAATTCCAGTCCTCTCTTCACTTTGATTAAAGACTACTTGAGTTCCCTCTGACCTCTTATATCTGTCTATCCATCGCCTCAATTTCAGTCTTTTTTTTTTGGTAAAAATGTAGAAGAGACTAGCCACTTGTCTGCTTACTGAAAATATTACTATAATTTTGCACTTTATTTCTCTTTTTTCATTATCACTTTTTGTGAGAGAGCTACATATTATTTGTTTATTGTTAATCTGTAGTAGATTATTTACAAATATCAAACTATACTGAACTCGGCAATAATTTAGCACCACACACCTCCCATCCCAACACCAATAAAAGAAAAATTACTCTAAAATGAGAAGAAATAAATAACTTAGGGAAGAGTTTTCATTTAATAGTACTTCATGATGTTTAACACTGAGTGATAAATTGAATTAATCCTACTTGGTTAGCAAAACATTTTAAGCTGAGGTGGTTATATATTACTAAATTATTTTTTCAATTTTTTTAATTAATGGATGTAATTTAATCTTCCAATCTAACTCTAGTAATGGATGTAGTTTAAACATTTGGTGACTAAATTGAAACAATTTTTTATATTGAAGATCAAATTGATACAATTTAAATATTGACAATCAAAGTGAAATACTTTTATACATTGGATTGGGGATCGAATTGACATAATTTAAACATTAAAGACTAAAATAATATAAAGCTCATACTGGTAAAACAAATTTCAGTTAAAAATTAGACAGAAAAGGATACATGAATAGTCATGTGACATTAAAATTATTTATTATATATAACCCGCACCTCTAATACAAATTCAAATCCTAATACAATAATATTTTTTTTATGTAATGTGACAGGTATTGTGACATTTTCTGTCTAATTTCAAACAAAAATTAGTTTTAAAAGTAAACTGGGAAAAAAATTGAAACATAAAGGGAAAAAAATAAACTTTAAGGGCCCAAATAAAAAAGTGACCAAACTTAAAAGGGACAAAGTATAATTTAGTCATATAGAAAACTCTCACTAAAATTCTTATTAAAAGTACAAAGATTTAATAGATTTGATTGTGAAAAATATAGTAATACTTGGACATCTAATGATATTTGAACACATATTTCATTTAAGAGTTTTAGTAAGAGTGTTCATACATATAACATTTTTTTTTTTTTTTTTTTTTTTTTTTTCTCAATCCACCTATAATAGTTTATTGGACAAATTATACTAACAGGCCTTATAGTTTGAGTTTTGTATCATTTTGGTCCCCGACTTTTCAATTGTGACACATTTGATCCTCAATTTTGAATTTTGTTCTAAATAAGGACAATTGAAGATACCATTACTCAATTTCAAGGGTAAAATCGTCAATTTGATAAAATATAAGCTAATTTGACAAAAATAAAAGTCATCAATTTGATAAAATATAAACTAATTTGACAAAAATAAAAGTCAAAAAAATATTTTTTAATTTTTAAAAATCATTTGTACTCACTAAAGATAAAATTATGTAAAATTAATAAATCTTTTAAACATTTATTATTTTTTTTACCAAATTAATTTTTATTATGTGTTTGGATGATGATCATGTAATCGGTGATTGTTTTTATTTTTATTAAATTAGTTTCTATTTGATATCATTACATAATTTCATCTTGGCGGGTATAAATTATTTTTAAAAATTCAAAAATATTTTTTTGACATTTATTTTTGTCAAATTAGTATATATTTTATCAAATTGACGACTTTGTCCTTAAAATTGAGCAATGTATCTTCAATTGTCCTTATTTGAAACAAGATTCAAAATTAAGAATCAAATGTATCGCAATTAAAAAGTCAAGGATCAAAATAACACGAGTCTCAAACTACAGGAACTGTTAGTGTAATACACCCTAGTTTATTCTTCTATAATTTCATAAAATTCTACCTCAATCTGCACCCAATTATTGATTCAAATCAAATTTTGAATGAAAAATAACTTACTACACATGAGCAAATCATTGAACCATTACAACATGGACGTCAAAACAACACAAAAGTACAAACAACCTCATGTTTATTCAAATTTAAATTGAAATATAAAACTCACCAAACCCTTCAAATTTTAATTGAAATATAAAACACACCAAACCCTTCAAATTTTAATTGAAATATTAAACACACTAAACCCTAGCCATTTTTCCTTACTAGAGTATTTTTTTTCCAAAGTAAGGTGGAATTTACCCTTTGTAATTTGATCTATGTGTGATTATCCTCCATGATTTGTGGATTGAACAGTGAAATACGTTCTTGGACATAAGAAAATTACATGCTCATTTGTCAAGAGGTAAATTACACATGGGGCAAAACATAATTATCTACAATGATGAAAATATAAGTAATTTGCACAATGAGACTATTCAACATCATTATGTACAATGGATACAATCTGATGCTCATGAAAAAAAACTTCAAGATAAAACCTGAGCTTAAAATACTTTACTGCACATGACATGCTCTTTGGTAAAGGAGTGAACTAGGTAGCTGCTTTCCTTGTTCCCCAATTTTTGTATCATCCTTACAAACCACACAAAGTGCATTGTTGTCATCCACAAACACCAATGGAAGATATTCAACAACAATTTCTGAAGTAGGTAGCCTTCCCACCAAGGCATTTTCATTCTCTGCAAATTGCTCAAACAAAACCTTCCATACTCTGCTGTGTGATTGTACATACTCATATTCTTACAGATACTGGATAAAATGCGTGTGTGTGTGTTTTTTTTTTTTTTTTGAGGGGAGGGGGGGGTTGTTGAGGTTCTCGTTCACGCTTATTAGTGTGGTGTATATGACAATGAGTAGCAAGGAGACAGCATAAACAGACCAGTTGGTGCATGGAGGACTGCTGTTGTAGGGAATCAAATAGCAATGCAGAATGCTGTGGCAGCAAAGAAGATAGCAAGTCACTACAAAGAGGGAGGCAAAGGCTAGTGAGAATGCAAGGGGAAAAAAAAAATTGGAGGAAGTTAGAGTAGTCAGGTTTGAATAAATTGGAGGGCTATTTTGACAGATAAAGTTAAGCAAAATGCTATCATTTGCTTAGGCCAATTAAGACGATGTTGAGCAACGACCAAAGAAATTGGTTGACACTGCAGTCTTTAGGGTTTACGCAGCAGGTGTAGTGGTATTTGAGACAGAGCAGCCAAAAAAGAAAAAGAAAAAGAAAATTGAAGAGTAGAAAAATTACCTGGTGCTTCTGGGACTCTGAAATGGTGTTCTGGATCTAGAGTAGCTTACGGACAGCTCTCCAGTATGTAGAGGTCACTTGTGCAACTGGGGAGTGCTCCACATTATTCTTGAGTGACTACTTCAGGGAAACTTCAACTTTTGTCACTTTAGAAACAAATCAAAATGTAACGAAACAGGACATCATCAACGGCATAAAATAAACTTCAATGTCACAGCTGAATTTCATTAGAACATCCATAATCAATGTCTTGGTTCGTCAAACCTTGTTCCCTCTAAGAAGATGATTTATTCATGTGCCGTTTCACTACCTTGGCAGCTCTTAATTGTTCGAGAATCACATTTCTACCGTAGAAAAGAAATTTTTAATTAACAAAGTTAAAATCCCTCATCTTGTTGGACAATACAGGTTTGTAGAAAAGACTTGGATGTGAAACAAAAGTAAGAGGATGTCAACTTCATGTACAAATCAATTGAGCCAAACAGTTGTTTGGTCCAGAAAATCCCTATTCACAAGTGCAAGATAAACATCCCTTGTACAGTAATATGATTATAAAAGTATATTTCAAATTACCAAGTTGTCATGCAAAATGAAATGTTCCATTCTTCACCCCTAACTGTTGATGTTAATATAAAAAATACCCAAGGTACATATCAGCGGTTCACCCCTAACTGTTAATGTTAATATAAAAAATACCCAAGCTACATAATAGCAGCTGATCAGAGGATGACTGGATCTTCACTAGCAAACAATTTCCTTTAGCCATCACTACGCCTTAATTAGTTGAAGAATTTATGTTAGCAAAGCCAACTAACCTCACATTGCCTACAACAGAAAACATTATTGTCATTAAGATTCATGATCCACCATTTAACCAATAGAAAAATGCATTGCCACAGTCCAACCATCCTGAAGCTAATTCGAAATAAAAATTAGCATCTGCTTGCTTCAGCTGGTTAGAGCCCTCTATGTTGAAAGTAACAAATTTTCCAGTAATCTTAATCGTTCATATCAGCAATGAAACTGATATAGAACCCAGCAGAGTTACACTAAAAACAAGGCTTTTTAACAAGTTAAACAGAATATTATTGTCATGTAAGATTGATGATCCACCATTTTTTTTCCTTTTTTTTACTTTCTATCTTTCTTTCTTTTGTTTTTATTTTTATGGGAGATGATCCACCATTTAACCAGTAGAAAAATGCATTGCCACAGTGCAACCATCCTCAAGCTGACTCGAAATAAAAAATTAGCATATGCTAGCTTCAGCAGGTTAGAATTCTCTATGTTGAGAGTAACAGATTTTCCAGTAATCTTAATTGTTCATTTTAGCGATGAAACTGACATAGAATCCAACAGAGTTACACTAAAAACAAGGCTTTGTAACAAGTTAAATAGCACACAAAGCAATAAAATCGATGGTAATAAGCCTTTAAACAAGAAAAATGAAGTCCCTAGCTACTGGCATATCAGAATATAGTAATTGAATCTGAACTGGAATATTTTGTTCATCATATTCGTATAAGTTGAAGGATCTACCTTTCTTTCTTTTCTTTTTTTTTCTTTTTTTGGTAAGTTCAAGGATCTGCCATTGACAGTGTTTCATTCATCAACATCCTGCAACAGGAAATTTGAACTCATTTATATAATAAGTGGATAATGTATAGATAAAATCACTCACATGCTAGAGACAATCAGGATGTGAGAACTATCTGAGTAGATATTACAGCTTCACTGCCATGCAAGCATTCTATAAAGAAAGTCAAATTCTGTGAGTTTATTGAAATATGCAGTCATCAATATTGAGCAAATGTTAAAGGATGTAAAATGACACAGAAGAACTAATAGGAGTCACTGAGAATGACCAATACCTTTTAAGTGCTTGGCACTTCATATTATTTGCTTATGCTAGTCAATCAAGTATAATTATCCAGTGAAGTTGGTTGTTCTATTCAAATTCTGTGAGTTTATTGAAATATGCAGTCATCAATATTGAGCAAATGTTAAAGGATGTAAAATGACACAGAAGAACTAATAGGAGTCACTGACAATGACAAATACCTTTTAAGTGCTTGGCACTTCATATTATTTGCTTATGCTAGTCAATCAAGTATAATTATCCAGTGAAGTTGGTTGTTCTATTCCAGTAATAGCACCGAAGGTCATCGCGACCGGCCAAGCGCTCATCACTTATCAGGCTTTCGAAGTTATTTTAGATGTTATCAATGAGAGATGTATCTACAAAGTCATGTGAAAATCCAGATTAGAAGCAATGACAGTACTCATGAACATTTCATACAGCTTAAAGCACAATTTGCAGAAAAGAGAATAAATAAGACGATGTGGAGGCAAGTTTGCTGCAAGTTAGAATTTCTCTGACATGACAGTCCTGAAAAAACTCACTGATATGAGCATGCAATTTTGTCTCATCGCAAGTTAGTTAAGCACTCAAATTGACTGAAATTCACAGCATTGCCATTTCGAAAGCTCTTCATGTGGCCTATTCTAGAGAATTAACATATTGAGCCTCTTTAACAATTAGATATGATGAATGCTTTACTCTGTGAAGACTTAGAGGAAGAAGTATTTACGGATGTTCCACCTGGCCTTGAGGATTTCTCAGTTTAAGGGAGTGTGCAAGCTTAAAAAGGCATTATAGGATTTAAAAAGTCTGCTAGAGTATGATTTGAGAGGTTTACTTGGGCTATGCTTAGATGTGGCTACAAACAGAGTCAAGATGAAAATACCCAATTTATTCAACAGTCACATGAAAACAAGGTTACTGCACTCCTTGTGTATGTTGATGATATTTGATCTATAGAAAAGCAGAAGTTGAATAGCTATCTTACTAAGGAGTTTGAGATAAAAGATTTTGGTAACTTAAAGTACTTCTTGAGTATTGACGTTGCAACATCTCAAAGAGAGTGTTTACCTCACTAAGAAGATATGTTTTGGACCTTCTTAAGGACAAAGTGTGCTTGGGTATAAAGCTATTGATACCATGTTGGAGCAGAATTGCATGTTAGGGGATGAAACTAAAGATTCATTTGACAGGGAGAGATATCAGAAACTGGTTGGTAAGTTAATTTATCCATCTCATACTCACCTAGATACAGATTATGTTGTTAGTTAGCCTTGTGAGCCACTATGCATAATCTTATTGAATTGCATATTAGTTTGTAGACTACTCCGGTACTTCAAAAGAAAGGGTTCAATTTTTTACAATATTTGCATAACTTTATTGGCAAATATCAGCATCCAGCCATGCAAACTGAGATTCAAGTAGCTTGGGCTACCAAATGAAAAATGAGATGCTATTCAAATGAAAAAACACTATGAGATGCATCCATATTTATTATAATTCAGTTAGAAATAGATGATGTTGCACAATGGAAATAATGCTCTACAAATTTACAAGAAAACTAAATGCAACCACATTGTAAATCAATATAATAAAAAAATCACTGCTATGCAAATTTGAAGCGTACAAAGTCTGATATTGCTTGTGTAATATGCCAAAAGTACTCTTTCACCTACAAAGTCTGCTAGAGCATGATTTGAGAGGTTTACTTGGGCTATGCTTAGATGTGGCTACAAACAAAGTCAAGATGACCATACCCAATTTATTTAACATGAAAACAAGGTTACTGCACTCCTTGTGTATGTTGATGATATTTGATCCATAGAAAAAGCAGAAGTTGAATAGCTATCTTACTAAGGAGTTTGAGATAAAAGACTTTGGTAACTTGAAGTACTTCTTGAGTATTGGCATTGCAACATCTCAAAGAGTGTGTTTATCTCACTAAGAACATATGTTTTGGACCTTCTTAAGGACAAAGTGTGCTTGGGTATAAAGCTATTGATACCATGTTGAAGCAGAATTGCATGTTACGGGATGAAACTAAAGATTAATTTGACAAGGAGAGATATCAGAGACTGGTTGGTAAGTTAATTTATCCATCTCATACTCACCTAGATATAGCTTATGTTGTTAGTTAGCCTTGTGAGCCACTATGTATAATCCTATTGAATTGCATATTAGTTTATAGACTACTCCAGTACTGCAAAAGAAAGAGTTCAATTTTTTACAATATTTGCATAACTTTAATGGCAAATATCAGCATCCAGCCATGCAAACTGAGATTCAAGTAGCTTGGGTTACCAAATGAAAAATGAGATGTTATTCAAATGAAAAAACACTATGAGATGCATCCATATTTATCATAATTCAGTTAGAAATAGATGATGTTGCACCATGGAAGAAATGCTCTACAAATTTACAAGAAAACTAAATGCAACTAACACATTGTAAATCAATATAATCAAAAAGCACTATTATGCAAATTTGAAGCATATATTTGAAACAATTAACTAGTGAATACAAGTTCAAGAAGCATACATACAAATACAAAGTAGAAAACACAAACTTCAGGAACAGGACATGTATTGTGCACCTGTTATTCTATGCTTATTTCCAATCCCTTCAAAGAGCAAAATGTGATCAACTTCAGTACCAAATTATAGCAGTTGCACATGGTTGACATTAAAGATTATCAACAACTAATATTTTAGTTCAAAAAATAAGGAATATTACACCATTCAATATATATATTTGTATGTGAAAACATATCAAAGTCATATCCATAAACAAGTCAAGAAACCATCAACGAGATTCTCGCTTCGGAAAGGGAAAATAAATCTTGACAACAAAGTGCATTAACGCAAAATAATCTTTAATAAGAAATTTCAGATTCTCCTATTGCTTTGATGTGGCGTTGTTTTTGTATTCTAGAAGAAGTCTTAGCATAAACTTCATTGCTTTTTGAGGCTTTTTGTTAATACTTACAAATTGTGATACCAGAACCATTTTCACATGAAATACCAATTACCTAGTCAAATTATTACACAGGAAGAAGAAGGAGCTGGCCTTTAATAAAAGATTCTCCAACATAGTTTCACATCATCTTGAAAAGTGGTGACAATATGTGCAATGGGATTTGTCCCTTGGATTTTTCCCCTTTTCTTCTAGATTTTTTCTTGTTTTGATAGAATTCATTTATTGAATATGCCCCATCACAAAAACCAAACCAAATCAAAGCTCAGTTTTATGTCCCATTCAAGTGTAGCTGGCTACACGAATCATTTTTCTATCAATGATTTTATGCATAGTTAAATAAGTAAATTCATACGAATCACAGAATACGTCAATATGTCACATACTCTTCCACTTTAACCAATATATTTCGATCCTATGAATCATAGCACCTCCAACCACATCATGCTTATTAATAATCGAACTTAAGTAACAAAAATGTTCACTACTTGTTTTTCATCACCAAATTGGATTAATAATATTGCTTCTGGGATCAAATGCACATTTCTTGTGAACAGTTGATGCAATCTCTTAGTTTCCACAATTTATCATACAGTGAATTGAAGAGGAAAAGTAAACAATTGAATTTCAGATTCCAGATCCTGAAAATTTTGCAAATGGTAGTTCCTGTGCAATTCAATCATATGCTAGCCCTTACACATTCACTATCAATGAGCACAATCAAAAAAATGAAACTATACAAATAATTGATGGAACGAAGTAATTCCAATAAACAAAGCCATTTTACAAACAGTATAAAACTCCCGAATCCTATGCATGCAAGTTTAAGTACTATTAGTCCTGCATTAAGAGTGGCCACAAACATATATAAATATTATCGGTGGTGCTACATACACCAATTAGTGTACTAACTAGTATATCAACTAGTTATGACATTATTACTGACCACACTCATTAATCATGTTACAAATACCAAAACCTCTTAAATTATGTCATATCGTCCACTAATTAGTACACTAGTGACCAAAAGCAGCTAATAATAATTAAAATTAATATCCATAAAAAATCATATCGTCCACTAATTAGTACACTAGTGACCAAAAGCAGCTAATAATAATTAAAATTAATATCCATAAAAAAGTAACCTGAATGACAATCGTGTGCTACAGGATTAGCATTGGGATTTCACAATGGTGGAGCGCAATTGCAGATGGAAATGGCAAGCAATGAAAGAGCATATACCATCCAGGAAATGAGCTTGAGGCAGAGAGAGAAAGAGACGGTGATGGCCGCAAAGAAAGCGGTAACTCCACAGAGTAGTCCAGCGTGCTCAAGCAAGCGGCCTGGTTTTGGGTAGTTGGCAACGATGTATTTAGCAACAACGAGAAAAGCGAGTGCAAACACCATTAACAGACACGGCAATTGGAAGGTTATAGGGTAGTGTTTACGAGTCTGGACGGATCGGAAGGAGATTTCAAAAGCTGCTGTCAAGCAGAACGCTACAACTAGCTTCGGCAATTCTAGGTCTTGTTGCTGAGCATTGCGTGGAATTACTGGTTCAGGCGGGGCATCAACAGGAGGAGGAGGAGCTTAGGCTAGCGATTCAGAAGGCTCGGCGGCGGGATCAAGAGGATGGGGACCTTGAAGAGCAGATTCAGGCGGCTGCTCCGCCACAACCGGAGGGAGTTGAACAACTGTTTCAAACGGTCTCATTTCCATTTCCATTTTCAACACTCTACACTCACAGAATGGATTAGAGTTGTGATGGGAGAAAGGGAAGGGCTTTATCCTATCTGTGTATATATGGGGAGGAGTTTTTGCTGGCTTAATTCCATCAATTGCGCTATTCATTACTGTTGTATTTTCTCCACCGGATGACCCATCGGATGACCAATTTTGTGCAAAATTTTGTACAGATTTTACATTGGGAAATCGACCACCCGGTTGACCCCCTGGATGACCCTGATCAAGTTTGAAATTTCAATTACAAAATTGTACAGATTTTGCTCTTTCCGGTCGTCCCCCCGGACGTCCGGTATGTTTTGATGAAAGCTACGGTATACTGTTGGAGTGATTGATATCAGATTGAGCCAAATGCCCTTTTTTTACTCAAATTTGATAAAAATTTTATTCAACCGTTGGAGATGCTCTAAGGGAATTAAGTGTACGCTGGTCATTTTTTACCTACGTGGAGTCTTCTATTTGTATTTTTTTTTTTAAATTATATTTATTTTAGATTTTTTTTAATATTGAAATATTTTAATTTTATTTTATATAAAAATAATTTAATAATCACATCACTAACCATTTCCTACACGATCATCAAAACAAATACATTTTTACTTAATTTTCTCACTAATAATTTTCACATTAATAATCTTTTTATTAATCATTCTCTCACTAATAATTCTATTCAACCTAATCTACCAAACAAAAGTGGCCTAAAATCACACCTTGAAAAGGAATTTGGAGATATAAATTGCAATTTATGTTTTTATGTATAATAAAGACTCACATATGTTGTCATAATTTGTTAGTCAAAATTTTTATATGTTAATAGAAAATTACATCTCGAGTAATTACATCACAAATTTTATAGTAAGTGCATTTTATGTATCGTCTATAATAAAAACCAACATAAATTTATGAGAATTTTAATAGAAAATTGGGGATTCTAATGTACCGTTTGCTAACACTTTAGGGTCTGTTTGGTAACGTTTACGTTTTCAGTTTATATTTATAAAAATTTTATAAACTGGTTGTTGTTTATTTTTTGTTTATTTTAAAAAAAACATAAAGTATAAACGCGTTTGGTAATTGACAAAACGTTTAAAAAAATTTAAAAATATAAAAAAGAATGAGAAATGGCAAGTGGCGGCAAGTGGCAGCGGAAGACGGTGGTGGAAAGTGGTGACGGTGGGTGGTGGCTGGTGGTGGTGGTGGTGGCAGGTGGGTGGGAATCCATAATATACCTAACCATGAATGGAGAGACATGAAACACATAAAAGCACAAATGCATAAGAATTATAAATCACACACAAAGAACCACTCTAAGAAAATACACTTTCGGCGACTAAAAAATTAGTCACCAAAGTCTCGTTTAAAATTTTTAGTCACCCCAGTTAGTCACCGAAGGCTTGTCGGCAAAAGTATTGGCAACTAAAGTCATGTTAGTTGCTAATACTCTTCTATTTGGCTACTAAAACGAACTTAGTACCTAGTTGACACAATGTTTACATAGTTCACTTAAAACTAAAAACCCAAGGTTTACATGATTCATTTCAAAACTAAAGTTATGCCCACAACTGCTACAGTTTTCGCTATAACTAGGGTGGTCAATGTCTTTACTATTCCATGAATGCGGTGCAGGTGGAGGTCATGATAGTGTTGGAAATGGTTGTATGGTGGTTTCTTATTTTGTTGCATATTTTTTTTTTTATCATTAAAACCAACCTGTATGTATATTCAACCTATTAAATTTTAATTTTAAATGAGTTCATAAGATGTAATAATTTGTTTATGAATTTGGACAAATTTAAACAAATTTTAAAATGTTCAAATTGGATGAGTCTAATTCAAAATGGGTCTTGTCATTTACAATTTGAATATATTTTTTCAATACTAACATCAGCCCATAAAAGTTGTTTTTAATATTTTCCATTTGAAATTACCAAGTGGCATTTGAATAACAATATCTCAAGTTACTTTTTTCAAAAATCTGACCTTACAAACTCTCTTTTTTTCTTCCTAGATTTTCCTTTAAGGGAAGAGGGAGATGGCAGTGGTTCTCCCATTTCTCCGATCTCCCTCTTCTTTCTCTCTTTTCGATCCTCCCCTAGATTGGTTATTTGCCTCACCAATCTGGCCATCACCGCCTTACCTTCTCCACCCTATAACCCAAAACTTTAAGATCTGACTTCAGGTCTTCTCACAATCCGAAGGCCGAAGCTGGATAACATGTTTATTTCACACTCGGTGACCACCTCAACCTCAATAATCTATCTTGACCAATGGAGGTGGGGTCTTTAGATTCCAAGTTGAAGGTTGCAGAGGAGTGGAGTTTTGGATGAATTTGGTGATGACTTGGATTTGATTTTTTTCTATTTGATTTTTTTTTTAACGTTTAGTTTGTAAATGTAGTAATCCGTTTTGCATGGAGATTTGTTTCTCTTTCTTGTGAGAGCCTTTTCTACACTGTAGAAGTTTGGATCCTTCCTTCTATAGAGGTTTTTATTTATTTTTTAGATCTTGTAATACCGCTGTACCAAATTGATCTGATCTTTTATCAGTTTTATAATAAAAAATTTCTTCCCAATTAAAAAAAAAAAACAAAAACTCTGACCCTACAACCACAACTTGTCTATCATTGTCATCTATATTTTTCCTTACATAGAATTAATAATTAGACTAGATACAGAAAACTTGACTATTAGTCCCCATTTGATAGCCGTGTTAAGTGTGATTGACAATGATATCATTAGGCTCCCATGGGTCCACACGCTTTTTTTTTAATATCATGTTTGTTTTAATGTTGGATGGGGATGTTGATAGTATAGTATCGAGCTCTAAATCTAATGATAAGGGAGAGTGAGAGGATCATTTTAAGGAAAGATATTAGAGTGGGAAGAAAACTTAAATGGACATAAGATGTAATGCTGCAAAAATATAGTATAATTTTATTGAATTTAACAGAATATATAACTTGATAGAGCTAAATGGACAAAAATAATTCATATAGCCACCTCACTTGATTGGAATACAAGACTTAATTTGGTTTGAAATTTTTTAAGGTAGTGTTTGGTTCACTAGAATAGAGTGAAACAAAATAGTCATTCCATCAAAATATTCATTCACATGTTTGGTTGACGAAAATAAATAAATAAATAAAAATGAAAAATGCATTGCAAATAGAATCATCATATACCATTACAAGGGAATCATTCTATAAGGGAGCTTAAGGAATTACCATTCCATTCTATTCCTTCTCATTCCATTAAACCAAATACCGCATGATAATATAATATTGTTAATTTTGGGGAGGTTAAGTTAATCCTGTGATCATGGAATTAGCCACATCACTCCATCCAATAATCAAAAATAATTTCCCCCTAGATCGTGCCACCTCGACCCGGGTATAGGCTAGTTTAACCGAAGAGTGAATTTATCTCCACTCACCGTCCTCAGGATTGGGTCCTTTGTTCGGACTCCATTACGCCCATAGTTCTGGTACGTAGATCCCGGAAAGCTCCGAGCCCGCAAGTGTTCTGAGACTCATTAACGGAGCGACTTCTAGATTGCTTCTGAATCCGTTCGAAGCCAAGTGTTTCGGACCTCTAGGTTCGTGGATCCGAACCCTTTCGAGTCCGAGTGCCTCGGATCTCTAGGTTTACTTAATCCCCTTTCGAGTCCGGGCCCGAGTAAGTCTCTAGGTTCGTGGATCCGAGCCTTTTCGAGGCTTAGAGCCATTTAGCTCGTTTGATGGTGATAAATTCGGGCCGACCAATCTTGGACTATTGGGCCTAATTAATTTAATGGGCTCAAATTAGCCCCTCTTACATTTGCCCCTTGCGTGTATGAGAAATTGTAATTTTCTCGGACATGCATAGTTTCACCTTGTCTGTCATGCTCCGCATTACGTCTTCAGGAATATTTGGTCTTGATAAAGTCTAAAGATAAAGCTGAAAATTCATTGTAATTTACAGATAAAATCGACAAGTAAAAAAAAAAAAAAAAAAAAATTTTTTTTTTTTTTTTTTTTTTTTTTGCGCCATGTTTGGCCAACATATACACCTTCATGCTTTTGATCTCACAAAGAAAAACAAATCAAAATCTGAATATTTAAAGATCCACTCACCAAAATTGATCAAGAATTAAATTTCTCTTTCCAGGAAATGGTCAAACCCATATATATTTTTTATTTTGGTCTTATCTTGTACCTTTGCTTGGGCCACAGAACTTTTCTTTATCATTTTGATTCAAATGCCTTTTGAAGCCAAATAAACCCATTAAAGAAAAATTCTTGCTGAAAGTCCAACCTCAATTCTTTAATTCCTTTAATCAACTTACATAAATTCAATTTGACAGATTCCCAGAATATTCGGAGATCTATTGTGTATATCTGAAGGACCACCAATCACAAGACCATCAATCAAGAGGCAAAGAGCTTGTGCTTATCCCCTTTTTTTATTCTGAAATGTAACCAACCAGCAAAACTTTTATTTATTTATTCTGAGAGGTCTAACATCCAAACCCATTTTCGTTTCTCACTTTAAAACGTGGAAATCCACTGTTCTTCTTTCTTCAAATTGGAAACCCGTGAACTGCTGGGGCCCTTATATATATATATATATATGTATGTGTGTATGGAGAATATTTGAGAGGATATCCCAAGATGACGCCTCTCCCTTTTCTATTTAAAGAAAGGCCAAAACCCTATTTCATAGATATTGTTGCACCGCGGCACTTTCTCTCTCTAATACGAGAGACCAACCCAGGCTTTCTTCTTCTCCAAGAAGGCTTTGTTTCTCTAATACCAGAGGCTGCTACGTGTAGTACACTGTCCTCCATTGCCACTCCAGGTGCCGCCATCGTCGCGGAAGATGAGCCACGGTTGCTGCTTGCTACAGACGTTGTGACCCATGCTGCAAACACTACTACAGACGACGCTGTGGCGGATGATGCTGCTACAAATACTGTCACGCCGTGAGCCAACAGTGACCAACCAGAAACCATCCTCTCTGCTGCAACTTTGCCTTCGTCTTTGGTTGCCCAGTGCTTTGCCTTCGTCTTCGGCTGTTCAACGCGAACCACACGTCGCCCACTCAACGCGATGTGTG